CATTCAAAATTTTGTTACCAGATCATGTTATTAACAAATTTTAGGAATTATTCTATGTATTTTTGACATTGGATCTGTTTGTATTTAAACATCTAGAATTCACTCCAGATAAATCACTTACAATTAACTGCATGTTTCTAGCATTTGCTCAATAGAATCTGAAAATATCTAACAATTATTCGAAACGAAATTATTTTAATTAGAAACTACAAATTTTTATCTTTGGTTTTTTTTTTTCATAAGACTACAATATTCCTTTCATAGATTGACAAATTCTATCATTATTTGAGATTAAGACAGCACATAACGCACGTTCTATGCAATCACAAGGAAAGATGTTTTCCTCTCAATCATCAATAGTTCTCCTTTCAAGCTTAATTTCCAAATGCTTTGAAACAAAAAAATGCATGTTTATTACAATCTAAAAAGTTACTGTAAATACAATACAAAGTTAGAAAACAAAATATTTGTAATAACTACATTTATTTGGCATTTATAAAGCTAATTTTGCAAAAAAACAAAAGTCTAAACAGAATTACTGCTAAAATAACACTATTACATTATTTTTATAAACCGAATGATTGAAATCCAAAAAATACAATCAGTAATTTAGTTAGTTAACCTTATCTTTTTTGAGATCGCCGTTTTTTTCTTTGAAAGTAAACTTCATTTATACTAATAAAAATTATTTAACAAAATATGTATAGGCTGCCAAAGTATAGCATTAATAACAAAAAATATCTATATTTCAAATAATAAACTAATTTATAGGTTTTCATTTTTAATCAGTTATTTAAGAAGTAATATAATATAATTTTAATTTAAAAAACAGAAAAAATATTCACTGTGAAACCTTTGAATTTTTGGGGTTGCTGTTTAAGTTGAGAAAACACTATAGTGTGCCTAAGCTTCACATAAAAAGGAAAGAGTTCAATTATCAAAATTTGGAATGAGTACTGAAGTTGAAAAATATGGAATATGAGGAATATTGATTCAACGTTGAAAGTTGCAACATTTCAATACTTGAGAGTTGAAAAAAAGCATTGTTTTGTCTAAAATTAGGTAAATGTTCTTTGCCAAAAAAGGTTGATTTTTTAGATTTCTAAGTATCTTGAAATATTTATTAAACATTGAGAACAACTGTAATGCACTATTTAAAAACTCAAGTGCGTTCCAATAAGTAATATACTTTTGTATGTTATCTTCTATTATTAATTTACAAAATTAGAAAATATTTAACAAAAATATTGATTATAGATATGAGGTATAATAAATTATTTGATTATACTAAGAAATAAAATATTTAATATTTTTTTAGGACTTGAGGTTGCACCTCATATAATCTAAATATAGTATATTATATTTATACTTACTGGCTGCTACACACTAAAGATTCTAAAATATTGACATTTTTAGATCAAGACAAATGGTATAATGAACTGAATAATTTACTTCATTTAATCGTACTTTTAATGAAATTAATCTGTGATAAACAATTGAAATAATGTGTTTTTATAAATCAATAACTTTATAAGTATTAAGCCAATATAAACATACATAACAGATTTTAAAATGTTAGATCTTATATTTTATTATATAGATCATTTTAGTATCAAGCACAAATAATGATGTATTTAGTTAAAACAATTTAAAATACCATTATTACTGTTGTCTTAAAAGAAATATTATAAATCATGAATGTCTACATGAACACACAATTGTTGAAGTAAAAAAATCAGTTTTACTGTCCAAGACCACGTTTGTCAAATAGGTAGGCAATTTCTTTAGGGAAATATTTAGGTACATCCTAGATCTTAGAATTTGTGTTTAAAATCTTTTAAATCGTTTTGAGTACCTTAAAAATCTAATTTATGTTACTGATAATTAAATTCAATTGTACCTATTGTTGTCACTATTTGAACTGTTCAATACTGTTCATTTTTAAAGGTTCCCTTTAAATTTTACGGACAGTTATGTGCAACTGGTGCAGTTATTGTTTTATGAATTTGGATACTAAAGATAATATACTTTAATTAAGATGGTCTTAGACTTGTGTGGTATAGGTGTTTTTGAATGGAATTCAGTCCATAATAATTTACACACATATACCTATAACCTATATAGGTATATAAATACAGGATGATCCAACAAGTATGCTCACTCCCTTTTTTTCTTTAATAATGAAGTTTTTCAAAATCTAATTTTCGGAATCTTTAAATATACTCAAAAACCATACTTTCATATTCTTGAGATTTCTTGTGCCACTTAAGGAGTGCCCTGTGGCGATACAAACCTTTGTTTTTCAAATGAGAATCCCACTTTTTTTCTTTAAATTATTTAGCAGATAATTTTTTTGAGAATTTTGATGTATCGAAATCAAAATTCAAACGAGTAGTTGTCTAGTTATTACACATTTTGTGCTAAGGATTATATAGTTTATAATAGGGAAGAAGGACATGCTTATACAGTATACATTTTCATGTGTAGTCTATACACATAATATAAAATAATACGTCATTTTATATTTATTTAGTCAAACACTTAGATAAATAGCAAGTAAAATCCTTCTTGATTTATTTAGTTATTTTTCTTATTCCATGTGTATAACTGTATATTTTTATCCTTATTATGGATTATTATCCTTAGTACAAATTGTCCAATAACTAGGAAGCCACTCATTCGAATTTTGATTTTGATACATCAAAATTCTCAAAAAAATTATCTGCTAAATAATTTAAAGAAAAAAAGTGGGATTCTCATTTGAAAAACAAAGGTTTGTATTAAGTAGCACAAAAAAATCTCAAGAATATGAAAATATGGTCTTTGAGTATATTTAAAGATTCCTAAAATTAGATTTTTTAAAACTTCATTATTAAAGAAAAAAAGGGGGTGAGCATACTTGTTGGATCACTCTGTATATTTATATATATTATTAAGTAGGTTATGTCTTATAGGTACAATAAGATGGGCATCTAATTTTATTTATTATTTAATTAAAACCATACATCTCTATGTTTTGTCTCATCAAATGAAACAATTCACATGGTTTGAACTTGACAAGTACCTCAGTTGATAAAGATTCATCAAGTTATATTTATGTATTTATAAAATCAACAATTATTATACAATGAATTGTTCGCTTTATGTTTATTATTGTTACCAATAAATTATAATATGTATTATTTGTGTATAGCAATAAGTTTACGTACAAATATTTAGACAACTAGTATTGAATTGAAATTTTTAGGTGAACAGCATTCTGTTAGAACTATGTTAAGTAATAGGTGTTATTCAATAGCCAAACTTTATACAAAAATATGAAACATTTATGCATTTAAATAAATAATCATGTGATGTCGTTAATTTTGTGTATCAACTATACATACATTTTAAAATCAATCAGAAAGAAGTCTTATAATATGACTGATTTGATAGATATGATTATTGAAATTAGAGGTTTGAATTAAATTTAATAAAGTACCTTGTGGTTTCATATTATGTGTTTAATTTAAAAAATAAGTACCTACCTACCTATCCATTATTTTGAACAATACATATTTGTCTTTATATAATGCCATGACTCAACTATAACTGATAAAGAAATGTCTGGTATAATTGATAGGGTAATTCTAGGGTGATCTAAGTATGGAATTGACCTGGGATCCGATTATGTCTCCCCATAAGAATAATAAATAAAACTTAATACAATTGTATTACTTATGTATAATTTAATATTTTAAAGCGATGAATGATTTGGTCAGTAATTATTTTTGTTAAATATTAATAATTTATTAAATATGATGTGTAGCCGTGTAGGAATTCAATTTGCGACTTATAATATTATGTATTTATGTCATTATGCAAAAGACATCTCCTTATATGGTGGATATAGGATATATTATTATCTACCTTACTTGGATACATTTCATTGGACACCTTAGTATAACTCATTGGGATATAGTCATGGTTGCCAGTAGAAGCGTACATTGGTTCAAATGAAAATGTATAGGGATGTTGAAATTGTACAACTATTAGGGAACCATTTTTTAAAGTATTAAAATTTTATGTATAAACTGCTTGCTGCCAACTGGTTCCTATTAAATTATAGGTATGTTTATGTGGTAACTAGGACCAAATTCTTTTTATTTTTGAGAATCTTTCAACGTTATCTTGAGGACACCATAACTATGCATTTTTACCACTAATATAATTCTCATTATTTTCCAATATCTGTTTTTTTTCATTCATTAAAATATTTATGAATATTCTTTGCAAGGTAGGTCCTATAACGTTTGGCTATATAGCCATTTTGGTATAACTATTAGCTATGTGTAGTTTGTTTTTTATTTCAAAATAATAATTTTGTATTATAAAATGGTTTATTTTTAAATAATATTGAGCCTGTTTTGCTTCTATATTATCATACAATTACTGTACAATTTCATCAAGTATCTATAGGTTATCTAGAACAAATTATCCGAAAAAATCATTTCGAAATACTCGTGTTTTAAATTATATTATACCTTTTATGAATGGATAAAATGCAATAAATTAGGAAAGAAATGTTGCAAATTTAGGTAGATCTATAAATTATAATATTAATAAAGTTTTTTTTTAATTTTTCAATGAAAATGTTTTATATGGCATTATATAATACAGTTATAAAATTTAATTGTGTTAACCTAATGAAATTAAAAGTAAACATTTAAGAATAAACTTTCTGTATTCTATTTTTATATATTTAAATTCCTTGACATGAGATGTTTCAAGACTAAATTTTGAGAGTAACAATTATAATATTTATTTTATTCAATATGAATCATACATATTATACAGCACCGATTTGTCATCAATATATAATGCATATGTATTAAATATTAAAATATTCTACTAACAAATTATTAAGTGATTATTAACCAATTCCTTAAAAATAATTTAAACTGATTAACATTACTGCTAAGAAATAACAATAATAAAATATAACATTTAAAATTATTGTGTAATATAACAATTGATGTAATAAGAAAAGAAAAAAAATAATATATGAATTAACATATATTTTTCTCAGTTGTTGAATAATGTTTGAAAAGCATTCGGTAACAATTCAACAATATCTGTTGTAATCATATTTCGGCCTTTTGCTTTAAATGCTATTTTATTTGTATGTCTAGTAAGTGCACTTGCTGCATAAGCAGCAAGAACTTCTGGATCTAATTCATCACAATAATGAGTTTGCTTGGAAGCCCAATAAGCAAAAGTGCCCATACTTCCGGCTAATATATCTCCTTGGCCTCCACATCGTCTAGCCGAACCGGGTTCAGTACATACTAAAGTCCCTCTTATGTTTGCTATTACATCTTCAGCTCCTTTTAGTACTATAACATAATTACCTCCTAACTTGTTCATGAGAGCCTGAACATCAGTCACTGTTGGTTCATAGGTTTGGCGCCCAATCAGTCTACTAGATAATTTAGTTAATTCGTGGACATTTGGTGTAAGATAAATACAACCATTGTAAAATCGGAATGTTTCTGGTTCAATAACATTAAGAGAATCTGCATCAGCTATTATTGGCATTCTTTTATTGTTAAAATTTGATTCTCTACTGATGTGTTCAAAAATGCGTCTCACAGCATCTTGAGCAATAGGGCTAGTACCAAGTCCTGGTCCAACAACTAGAGAGTGGAGTTTTTCTAACCAGGGTTTTAAACGGTCAATACAATCCGGACTGTCCAAATATGGCAACACAATAAGTTCTGGTGAGTATGACTTTATGACTGGAGCAGCAGATTTGAAACAAAACACATAAACAAGATCAGCTCCTGTACGTAATGCACTAATGGCCGCATAGTAGGGGGCTCCTGTGTACTCTTCGCAACCTCCAATAACACCAATCCTTCCCGATTGTCCTTTATGAAGATTGTGCGATAAAATCGGTAATAGAGTTTTGCATTTATTTATCATATTTATATGCGAAGTCATTGTGAAAATTATTTAACTATAAATAATAAACAATAGTTAAGTATTAGGAAAAAAAATTGAAACACTAAAGTTACAGCCTACCTATAGTGTGTTTGATTGAATTGGCAGTTTATTTTCAAATAATGTTACGTAGTTGCTTAAAAAAAAAAAAACAAAATTTTGACAGTAGGTATATCGTTACGGCTATTGAATTGACAAGTATTTAAGAAATATAAACTAGACCAAAATTTAAAGTGAACATATTTTGTAGTTAAAAATGTTTAAATATCACTACTCTTTACACATTACAAATAACTAATAATATCATTATTCATCAAATGGATTATGGAATTATTCTATTATCTAAATTGTTCCCTGATAAACAAAGTTTAATTTATCATGACACGATAATCGCTTTGTGATAATCACAGAATAATAATACCACGTGATAATACCACAGATAAACACTCGTTATATTTCGAAAACTGCTTACAGCTAAGTGCATAAGCCCTTATGTATTATTAAGTACCGAACTATATAATATAGACTTAAGCACAGAGCCGTAGAAAAATAATAAGTGTTTGGAACCAAAACCCGACTGATCCACATTCAAGTGAATAACGAACAACACGTATTACTCATTATTCACTACATAGTCTAAATTATGGAGTAGCTCTATAGATCGCAAGATACAAATTATTTAAAAAATTGTTGAAAACCAATTCCTATTATTTAACATATAATATTAGTATCCTACAGCTACCATGACAATTACAGCTTATAACTCGTTAAAATTATAAAATGTTTAAGTAACTTGTTAAATAAACTACAATTTAAAATTTTTTTGGGACAAAAAAATAGTAAAAATAAATCGTGCATAACGATAATAGTGACTGAATGTAAATGAATTGATTAGAAAAAAAAATCAGTCAACACATCTGTGGTTAAACATTTTTAAAAAAATTTAGCCAAACTTTTGTGTTTGTGTATCAATTTAACACAGTATGAATTTAATTTATAGTTGATGTAGCATCATGACATGTTTTCATATTCGACCAATGAAGGAAGAATCAAAATATGCCTACATTTACTTATTAACTTGTTTATTTTTTACATGTTTTGTCAGGTTATGATTATTCTGAATTTTCGTTACAGATTATGTCAAAATTAATTTTAACAAAAACAATAAAATAATAACTATTTTTTGCTTCAAGTATAATTAAATTACATTGTGATAAATGTACAATTTTTTTCTTAAAAACTAAAACAGAAATTTAAAATGTTTAATACTATTACAAGAACATTAACATAAATTAACACGGTATAAAAGTATTGTCAATTGTAAATATAAAATTAATATTAAAAATGTTATTAATTACATGAAATGACAATAAAATTAAGTTACTTAATAACCCTTATAACAGTAAAAACTAAAAATAAATAACTTTTAAGATCTAGGTTCTTTTAATTTAACTATCTTAACGTTATCAGAACTTTTTATATGGGATATGTCTTGTGGAGTGAGAAATATGAATTGGTTTTTACGATTTTCAATAGCCATCATCAGAAGCTGAGTAGTGGCTAATCGATTAACATTATCCATGTATACATCATATTCATCAATGGAGTAAAATGGCAATTGCATGTTGCTCCATAATGCTAAAATCAAAGCAACTGTAGCAAATGTTCGTTCACCACCAGACGCACACGAAGTACTTATGTTATCAAACATTGAAATAACCATACTTTGTTCTTGTGGATTAATTTCAAGTTTGCCTTTAATTTTGCGTAATATCAGCACCAAATCAAAAGATTCAATCACTTTTAACCGAACATACTCAATATAGTTTTTAAGTGCTATTGTACTAAGTTTGATAGATTTCTCGTTGGCTTTATAAATCTCTGCAATTTGTTTATATAAAGCACTTTGAAGAATAAATTCTTCTTTTTTCTTCTTATATTCATCTCTCAATGCTAGATGGTTTTCGCCTTTCTTCTTCAGCTCCATTTCTAATAACTGGTACTTATGATTGGTTTCTTCTATATCTCTCCTTATATCTTCTTCATTGCGTGTTACCTCCATTTTTTCACATAATTTTTCGGCTATGTTTTTTTCTTTTTCTAGATTTTTTTTTTCATTTTCTGATTTTTTAACTAAATCCTTTAATAATTGTTTCCCCTCAGTTGAATTATCATTGATTTGCAACATTTGTGTTTTATATTTATTAATTTTAGCCTGGAGGCGTTCAATTTCTTCCAATAATGCAGAACGATCAGTCTTTTCAATAATAGATTTTATTTCTTGTAATCTCTCATTTATTACATTAATTTCTTCTTCAAATTTTGGAATTGGTTTCATGGAATTATCTTTTATTTCCCTAGCTTTGGCTATTTTTAAATCAACATCATTTATTTCTTCAGTTAGAGTAGCCATTCTGTCATCTTGTTCTTCTTCACATTTAGCTTTAAGTTCGTTAATTTTTTTGGAGTATTCATCATACTTGGACTTAAGTAATTGTGTTTCAGATTGAGTCTTATTAAAGTGTTGTTGCTTTTCTGCTTTTGACAGCTCAAAATTTTCATATTCTTTGTTTAGATTATTAATCTTTACTTCTAACTCTTTTTTCTGCCGTTTCAAATTATTTACAGCAACCGTAACATCGCTTTGCAAGAGCACTGGTTCAGTAGCGCTTTGTAAAGAGTATACTCTGTACGAAGGGCTAGGGTAAACTTGAGTTCCATCTAAAGTTAAACTGAAATTACAATTTCTTGGAACTTGAGACATATTTTCCATCAAAGGCATAGCTTCCGCTGTGTCATCCACAAGCATAATTGTTTCAATACGATTGTTATCAATCAGACAATTAGCTACTACAGGACTAGTGAAATTTAACATACGAAACAAATTATTTTGAGTTTCTTTAGCAGCGATGTTATGAACTTTGTCAAAAAATTTGCTAGTAATAACAGTGGGTTTTTTTGTGTTTCCTGTAATTATTTTATCCATTATTGATTGAAGTACTTTATTATCGGTAAAGTTATCAACTAAAAATGTTCTTAAATTACCACGACCTAAGAAGTTTTCGATTGCAAATATCCATTTGTCATTATTTACTTTAATATAAGCGCCAATAGGACCTATTGGTTTTTTTATAAATTTGTTTTGATTGAAAGCGACTTCAATAGCTTTAATTAATTGTGGCATCCAGTTCCCGTAAAAATTGATCCTGTCTTCTTGTTGAGACATACTGTTGATATTCCTATTAATTTCACCTATTTTTCTTTGTAAAGGAGTAACCTCATTGTTCTTTAAATTTCCAATTCTCTGCTTCAATTCATCAACTGTATTTCGTAGAGTTTGTTCATGCTCCATATTAGTTTTCCAAGCCGCCTCTACTTCAGAACAATTTTTCTCATAGCGTGCCAACATTTCTTTATACTGTGCTAAAGTATTAGTATTGCCTTTTTGACGTTCAATTTCAATGTGTTTTTCTAAATCTTTCCTATCACTGATTAATAATTTTAAAGCAGAATCATATTTTCTGACAGATTGCTTCGCTGAATCAATTTCTTTAATTTTGTCCTGCAATTCTTTTTTCGTCTGCACGAAAACCATATGATTATGTGAGCGAGATTCTTCAATATTTGTCAACTCTTTTTTCTTTTCCTCCAAGACTTCTAAACTTGTTTTAATATTCTGTTCTAAAATTTTTGTTTTATCTGTATTCTCAGATATATTTCTTTTAAGAGATTCAATTTCTTTTAAATATTTCTCGTAAGTTGTTTCATGTTGATTAACAACATGCCAAGCATACTCATTTTCAAATTGACATTTACTATTTTTCAATGTTTCTAACTGTTTAGATTTTTTTTCATAAGTCTCATACTCACTCACTTCTTTGAAACATTGCGCTAAAACACTTTTAACATTATCAAGTTTTTCTGAGTACTGTTTTGCAACTAATTTCGTTTCATCAATATTTTCATTATATACATTGGCAGATATAGCTTTATAGAAAAGATCATACTTCGCACTTGGATTTGCACTTTTATGAAATGTTTTAACCATTGCTTGATTCATGACACATATTGGATTATCCACTAATATATTAAAATGAAGTGTCAAATTTCTCAATTCATTTTTAAAGCCTTTAACAACCTTATTGTTTTCATTTAAAAATTTATAGGTAGTAGATGATTCAGTTATTTGCCTTACTATAGTAATTTGCTTGCCATACACTTCAGGCCTGTAAGGACCAGAGTCACTATTTCCTTCTCCACTATTTGCTATGGTTATTGATATAGTAGCCGATGGTTGTCCATATTTGATAAGCGACTTTAGTGAAGTAGCACGATTGGTGATGCTTGCTCTAGCACCAAACCCTACAACAAGAGCTGTTTGGATAGCACTTTTTCCACTACCATTCAAACCTGATATAAAATTAATTCGAGGGTTTAATGTCAAATGAAAATTTGAATGGCACATAAAATTTTCTAGAGTGATTGACTTAATACTTCCATTATACCAATCTTCATTAGTATACTGTGAATTCATTTGACTGAACTCTAAGAATATAAACAAAACATACATCCATTAAATTATGCAATATTGACGAATTTAAAAATAAATAATAAAATTGAATCTTACTTTGACTTAATTTAGATTTTGAATTCATAATTAATGTGTAAATTAAAAAAAATATCCAAGTTCAATGATTAACTGTATATTTTCTGAAAAATAAATAATTCATAATTTTAGGAATCATTTTGACACAACAGTTCCTAAATGATGATCTGCATGTAATTTTTTTTTAATTTTAAAAAATGTTTCTAACTAAAAATTATAAAATAAACAAAATAGGTAGCGAGTGCCTTTTTATTCCATATTGTTGAAGACTTTATGTATGTTCTATCACGGTAAAGCATTGGTTGGTAATAACTAGAGTACGGGTTTATATGATTAAAAAAAAACCAAAATATATGAATATACATGTGAAAAAAATTACAATAAGTAATATTTATATAATATAATTAAATCTAGAATTAGATCTTGATTGCAATGAGATATACATCCAAATTGTATAAGTTAGTAGCTGAAGTCCTAAACTTTGAACTAAGGTCAATTTATTTGTGTAAAAAAAGTTTTTCTCATTATTAACTGTATTACTTACTGTACCCATTACCTATTTCCTATAATTATCATTCAATATATCAGGAGGCTAGAAGTGCTTGATTTGAGTTAGGAATCTCTAATATATGTAAGATGGATATAAAATCATAAATATACAGTTCAAATAATAATTAAGAAAAATATAAACTACTAAATATTGGCTTGTTTTGAATATAGTGGAGTTTATTATATGTGAATAATATAGTTTATATTAGTTGTAAGACTATGATGGAAACATCTTAGTTACCAATTATCAACTTAGTATTATACATTAATGTTGTAGAGCCAGAAGGACTTTTTCCTACAATCACTACATGGTACTTTCCCTATTACCGCTCGATGCCACGACTACCGCAGCCACTCAATTCTGTTATCTCGACTTCTAAAGTAATATCCAGATAGTTCCATATTTTAATACATAAAACACATGAATTGTCATTTATATAATAATGTATATTAGTACGTCATCAAAATTATCACAAAACGTCAAATTACAAATTCTAAAATTATCACAGCAGTTGATTAATTATTCAAGCATGTAATTATTTCAATCAACAACCGTACAATAACTCATATCCAAATGGTTTTCACAAAATTTAAGGAAGGTCAATTCTGCACTCCAACAATATATAAATCGGAGTATTGTTAAAAAAAGACAGACGACTATTTTCAAACCAATTACCCATACACATATTGGTTTTATGCTGACACGTCTTGACATTGCATTTCCAAAAAAATTTTTTTATGACCGTTTTTGCATTCACTGTGCCCCAGAAGTAAGCTTTCTCTTGAAAAAATTCAATCGTATCTTTTTCACTGTTTGGTAAATTCTACAGATTCATAATTATTTGAAAATTAATAAATACAATAACGAAATACAACAACTGTCGGCAACAGGTAATCGAGCGAATTGCAGTCGCAGCACTGGCGTGGTAGTCGAGATAACAGAATGGAGACTCACGGTAGTAGGGGTAACAGAAAAGTACCCACTATATTTTCATATTTAAAAAATACATTATGCTTAAGAGGACGCCACGCTGGCATATGTTGTCTCCATCTTACAAAACGCATAACATACCAAATTTAAGCTCAGCAGTTAACGTTTTATGCCGTTAGCTTAAAAATTAGAGTGAATTGATCTATTATGAAACTTGATAGTAAGAACTTTATCTGGGTTTTGTTAAAAGTTTTTTTACAATAATTTAGTTTTTAAGTGAGTTATGAGCATTTTTAATTTACATTTATTATACAAGCATACCTCACTTAAAAACTGAATTATCGTAAAAAAAACTTCCAACAAAACACAGATAAAGTTCTTACCATCAAGTTTCACAATAGAACGATTTACTCTAATTTATAAGCTAACGGCATAAAATGTGAACTATTGAGAGTAAATTTGCTATATTACGCACTCGTAAGACGGAGACAACACGTGAGGGTGTGGCGTTCTCTTAACAACAACTGCTTCCTACTTTTAAGTACAAATAATCACATCTATACATTCATATTCTCCACATAGCTTATCAGTTATTATTTAATGATACTCATTATTTTACACGAACATTGGTACATACTACCTACATACTACGAACGGTCAATTGTGTACAAAATGATTGTGGTGACTATGAGGATATTATAATTTTATACTCCCAGCGACCCAGTCCAGTAATTTAATGTGTACTGTGTAAACTCACTTGTGGTTAACATTAAAAACCAAAGTTATAACAGTAATAAACATAAAAATAAAAGAAAAATAAATATTATTTGTTTTTAATAGATCTATAAAGAAAAAAAAAAAAAAAATAATAATGTATACTTTTGAAATACTGAGTAATCACTGTTAAAATAATCATTCTCTACTCAAGTACAATATTTTTGTTCATTATAAATTATAATAAACAATTAACTCTATAACTTATTAATTTACTGAAATACTTACATTAATACAGAATGTTTTCGAACCACATTGGGAGACTTTTAAACAAACTATCGTAACTCAAGTACAGACGATAAACATATTGTATTATACTATATGCATCATTATTTTTTTTAATCATCAACGCATTATAGACTGAAACGTACTGCTTTTACCGAAATTCAAGTATCTGGAAGAACAGTATTCAACAAAATGTGCCATTAGCCATTATGAAAAAAAGAAATATGGAAGATGGAACATGAATGCAAAACATTATATATATATAGATAAATTTGTTATTTACGTTATTTTGATCGGTTCATCGGATTACTGTTTAGTGACAAAAATTGGCGCCAAATAACCTAACCTAATTCTATGTTGGCGCCTTTTAGCATCTAATACGATTTCAGATAATATACAGCAGGAGTGGGAAACTGGCGGCCAGCGAGCCTTTTTTGTCTGGCCCTTGCTACATTTTTAAATTACATTATAAACAAAATAAATGGCAATTAAAATGTGTATTTTGATTTTTGAATGACCCATTTTTTTGCTTTCTAACCTCTGGCCCGCTAGATTTAATTTTCTAAATATTGACCCTCTATTAACTTTGAGTTACCCATCCCTGGTATACAAAAAAATAATAAATGGCAAATGCCATACAGAAATGGGTTCCCTGAGTGATGCTCGCAGTTTATCCCTGAAAATCAGCTGCTCATCATAGGAAGAAGTACAGCTAGCACCACAGGCCACAGCCACATGAAATGTCATATTTTATTCTATGCTATGAAGCGCTCTCAGTGTACATAATTATATACATCGAAATCACGATGTAGAGAAGAAATTTTCTGCATCGTGATCGAAATTGAAAAAAAATATCTATTATGAAAAATGAAAATATACATTGCTTAACTAGGTACATTAATTTCCGCTTGGGTGCTAGTTCAGGCCCTAATCGGCCTAATCGAGGATAAGCATTGGGCACCAAAAATAATGCTACGTTGCGTAAACTGTATATCTTTAATCGTGGTCATAGCCACAGATATATAAATATAAAAATACCTATCTATTATAGCCATGATCGTGGTTGTATCTATTCTGTGGTTCATACCATAGACATAATAATATTTTTATGTCTATGGTTCATACAATATGTTCATACGAAACCATAGACATATATAAACATAATATATTGTACGAGGGCAATATTATCTATGGGAAAGATACGCATTTTAAACGTATACTGGTCACACTGAGCAGTTAATCTTGATAAAGGTCAATTCAATGAGATAAGACACATTTTCATTTTTCATTTTTCATTACATATTTACATTCACCTCTTTTACGGTTTTACTTGCATTATATTATTTGTAAGAAAGTTATTTATTTTTACTAAACATGCCTATTATGAAAGCTTTAGCCTCCAATGGTAAGTAATCTATAGTATTACTCTTCCATGTTTTATGATAGTTGCTAATTATATTTTTCTATTTCTTAGTGGCTGTTCGCCGCTGGGCTTATAATCTGTCTGGTTTCAATAAATTTGGTAAGTATTGAGATGTTTACAATAATTATATATTATCTATATAATCTTATATATTGACTATCTTTTTAATATAGGATTACATCATGATGATGTGTTACAAGAAAATGATGATGTCAAGGAAGCATTAAGACGGTTACCAGCACACAAAGTAGATGAAAGGTCATTCAGAATAATGAGAGCAATGCAGCTCTCTTTACAAAAAATTGAACTACCTAAAGAACAATGGACGAAGTTTGAAGAAGTAATATTTAAACACAAATAAATAATTATTATTACATTAATATATCTTTAAATTTGTATTGCACTAGGATGACCGTTATTTAAAACCATACCTTGAAGCAGTCATAAAAGAAAGAGAAGAAAAAGAATACTGGGAAAAAAATTACTATTAGATTTCATATTATGTAATGTTAAAAATAAAAATATCCCATAGTCACAAGTAAATTCTTACAGCAAATATTTCAATTATTACTATCATTTTGAGTGTTTTATAAAATTGTATTATTACACGCAATATAATTTTAGTTTTCGGTAAAGAAAAATAAAATGAGTTATATCTTATTCCTTGTACCTAAGTTATTATTTTTGATTGATAATGCTTATATTAACTTAAGTATTTAATTATTTAATTTTTATTTAAAAAACTTCAGATTTTAAGATTTATGTTTGGGTGTTCATTTATCTCGGATCTCTCTATTTTTATATAGTGTTATATTATTATTAATTGTTAAATCGATTGAAGTGATATATCATTTTAAGACTAAATATTTTAGAATTGACTATGAATTAAAATTTAATAGCAGTATTTAGTATATTCTTATTGTCTGTTGGCTGATATTTATCTGTATGAAAATGTTAACAATTTTGAAAAAATCTATCGCATGAATCTCATAAATCTCATAAATAAAATAAATTATGCACACCAAAACATACAAAAATAATTACATAATATGATATGCTCAGCTTATTTATTTGGCAATTATGAAATTATATCCTTTTTGATAAATACATCTTAATGAAAATATGTTTTCTTTTTCAATGCAGTTTCACTGAATCAGAGACTGGCAAAGCAACTTTACTACATTACTACAACAATAATGATTTGATCTGTGGCATACAATAATAAAACAAAAAACAATATATTTTTCAATTCAAAGTAAACTATTATTGATATAGGTGATTATTAGCTAATTTTTTTTTGAAGTGCTCTTCCTAACCTAACTCAGTTTCAAACTTTCAAGGACTCCCTTGTCCTTCACTGCCTACTGGGTGTATTATTATTTTCTGTGCTGTTTAAAGTTGGAAAATAATATATTAGTATGTTTAATGACAGGTGTCATAAAAATATAAAATAGTGGACCAACTTTATCCGACCCTCAGATGACCTTTATTAAAAAATTTTTTTTATGGTAAATTAAATGAGGTTTTCATAAATTTTAATTAAATTTTTCTTTTACTTATTGGATGGACATGATCATGATATTTGGTGGTTCCTGAATTTATAAGTGGCCCTCCAAAAGTTCAAAAATTTTAATTGTTGTCTGGTGATTCCTGTTCTAAGTCGTGATTGTTCTGTAATGAATGATGAATGATGATAGCGGACTAAGATATATTCCGTAGATATATTATAATATCTTAGTCTGTGGTGATGATATTATTAGTATTACAGCGTAATACGCCCGAAATGTATTGAAATGCAATTGAACATACATGGTCTCTTATCACAATTATTCTAATAAAAATTGTATATCAATCATCTTTTGTTTGAAATTTTTCAAGTTTCAAGCATTCAACTACAGAAACGTATTTTTTCAAAAAATAATTTATCTTATTTTCTTAGTGAAGTAGTGAACTAAAAATAAATATACAATTTTAATTTTATATTGTATACCTATATCCGGCATTGTTTTAATGGTATTTTAAGAATTTGTGAGTTTTCATATTTTCATATTTTGTTTCTTATATTGTGCTAATCCAAATAATATTAATAATCATAATAATAATCCATAATACTAACCAAATTCTTATAACATTTAAAGTATATTACATGTATAAATGTGCTGCAGTTTTGTGAGTAGCCCAAACTCTGCTCTAATTAGTATATTTTACTAAGCAATAAGCATTATGTTAATCTATTTAACTATATAAATGTATTATGTAGCTTATAATATTATCCTTAGTATACACACAACTAGTATATAGTAGATATTTTACTATGTATTAAAAGTTGCATTGAAAAACTCAAATTGTTTGTTCCAGAAAAAACATTATAGTCAAGATGAGTACTTTTAATCTTGAAAAAATGGTGGGAACCATTGATAAACTGGGTACTTCTCTAGATGTAATGTTATGTTGCAAAGATAGTGAAGGCGGACAAGAAATATTAGAAACTTGTGAACAATTGGATAATTTAATTATGTCATTTGACGATCAAATTAGTATTCTAAAAGATGCTCTAATCAAAGAGAAAAATTCTCGTCAATCGGTTAGTTAATTTTAATAATAATAACAATATTGTTTTGGCGCTAATATATTTGCAGTCTGGAAAAAAATGTTGGAATAATAAAATAACAACAGTTGGCTGTATTACCTATAATAAGAGTATAATTAAATATTTAAAATGTGTCAATACGTTCTAAATGTATAATATATAATACTAGTAGTATAGAAAATAATGTGGTGCATTTTTCATCATTTTTGTTGACTGATTTCTGAAAAATATAGACTGATTCTAGGACATTGGTCTAGGTTAGATAAAACTTTTTTCTGTTTTGTGATGGTATTTGTTTTTTAGTCATTTCAAAGGCAACTAGATGAATTGAAAACAATTGAAGAAAGATGTAACCACATGATAGTTTATATCCAATTAAATACTGAACTCGAATCCCAGCAATATAATCAAAATCAAGAAATAAAAGAATGTAGAGGAAATAATTCAAATAATATGGCTAACATTTCAATGTCACCTGTACCTAAGTGGAATGATGCTTATTCTCTATCTGAGAACACTATACACCATACTATGTCAAATGGTACAATAATGAGTAACAGTATGATGGGTCAGTCTTTAAGATCTCAGACTGCTAAACAAGTTCTTGATATTCCGCTTCTCAAATCTGTTAACAACAATGAAATGGATACTGTTCCAAAGTAAGAATATTATTATAGTCATTATTAAAAGAATGTTGCACTCTCATGTATTGTCTCCATCTTTCAAAGGTAAAATAGAACAAATTTATATCCTGCAGGAACCATTTTATATTGTTAATTTTAATATATGGGTGAATTGACTGGAACAAATACACTTTACTAACCCCCTCACGATTTTCAATTTTTTTTTTTAAATTACTTGTTTTTTATGCTTAAGAATGGTGCAACTTTTTTTTACCGTAAACCATTATTTTAGAAGTTATAGCCTTATAAAGTTTGCAATTTTACGTTTATACACTTGTGTGAATACTACCTTACTGCCAGGAGCAACGCGTATGAAGTTTTTTTGTTTTTTTGTATTTTAACCATAGACATATAATATAATATACATATTTATATCAATATCACTATTTTACAACTACCTCGTTATTCCTAAATTGTATATTATTATTATTATGCATATTAAATTATTTTTATGATAGTAGAATAAGTTATACTAAGTTGTTTTGAAATTATGTTCAAGTACACAACAGGCTAATGAGTGTATTGTAACTTTGCCTGTTAAAGTAACATAAGTATAATATAGTGCCTTCGATTGCCAAATTTGAGGTTCTCTGGAGTCCTCCATGGCTAAAATAGCATACCTGGGGTTGAAGAGGAAGGCAACACTTTTGGGGTTGAGGGGGGAAAAGCATACCTGCCCTCTGGGCAGAAAGATAACTTAATAAGTAAACTTAATTATTTTAGTTTAAGTAACACAAATAAAGTGGCTCCCTTTAACTACTGGCTTCATTCGCCAAAATTAAGAGGACCTGACTTCGCCGTCGCCAAACTCGAGTCCTGGTAGAGTTGGAGTTTGAGAAGGGAGTTGGATGCGGGCTCATCCACCAACCTTCCCTGTGGCTAAAATATTGATCATGTTGAGATTGAGGAAATTGGAGATAGAAATTGGAAATGAGTCATTCGGTGGAGATGATGATCAAGACTTATAAATATTCTAATATTCTTAAAGTATTTATAATGACATGATTCATAATATTATTATTACGCACATAGGTGACTGTTGTGGTATGCGATGAGCGGCACACGGGCAATCCTTACCATATAACCACAAACTTGAAACAGCTATAACTTCTAAAATAATAGTTTCCGGTAAAATGTTTTTACATCATCGTTTTAAGCATAAAAAAACAAATTATTTTAAAAAAAAATTTTAATTGTGAGGGTGTTGGTAAAGTGCATTTTAGCCAAACTGACCTATTATCAAATATAAAGCTTATAATATTGCACAGGCGTTTTGTGGGCTTTTGTTAATATTTCTAATATCTATGACACACTTTAAAATTAAAATATCAATGAAATCCTACAAGATGCCCTGGATAATATTCTTATTTTAAAATTTGATAATAAGGCATAAGCAAAATCACTGTAACATTGAAACTAACAACACAAAATGAATTCTTCTACATAAGATGTGTTATATTAACATTTGAATGATGAAGACCTCACAGGTGTTGCTTATTCAGAAATTATTCTGTATGGTAAATTTTTGTATAAAAATGTGGTCTGTATTTATTAAATATTCTGGTAATTACAAAATACAAATTGTGTTTGTTACAAGATCTACATTTAACTTGTCTTACAAGTTAAATACAGTGAAACCTTCCTTCCCTAAAACTTTTAAATAGCAGGCACCTCTGAATAGCGGACAAAATGTCACCAACAAAGTGTCTCGGTGATGGGTATTTAGAGTTCTTACTGTACTATTATTATTTGTTGCTGTGTTCCATTACTTATTAGTTGTTACAGTTAATCATATTTTATTTAGGTACATGAAAGGTCGTTTAACTTCATTAAATGTGAATGTTGTGATAGATGGTATTAATATTGCATTAGAAAATAAATATGAAATTTTGCGAAAACCAAGAAACGTATTAAAGAAAAAAGATCAAGACATGTATAACACGTGGAAAATTCAGCAAAATGATGTTGGACAAGGTATGAACAAATAAATAATAAAAGTCATAAAAAACAATTTATAACTAATATTTGTTTTTTTTCCAGGTCAATACTTTGTAACTGCTGATGATATTTCTAGATTTGGGGAAACAAAAGTGGATAAAACTACATTAAACATAATTCCCATATTAAGACATTTAAAACGATTAAAAGAATCTCGAACAGGTGGCTTTGTTTATTATTTACCATACTAGAAAATTTATATTAGAAAGAAAGATAAATAATGGTATTGTAAAATTTATTTTAATTAATGATTAAATTAATTTGTTAAATGTTTAGTATTTAGCTATTGAACCAGACACTAAATATAATGTTAACCATATCATTGATTAAAATATACATTCATATTATATACATGCATATTTAATCAATGATCTTATATCTTATTCATTTAGATAATAATTTAAAGCTATTCTTTTTTGTATACACAAACATTTTCCATGATAATTATTGATACTTTTTTATTTTGCTATAAATTATTAAAATACTATATTCATCAAATTATAAATTATAACTATTCTTAAGTGACTTCTATTTTTATACATTTAATTTTTTCATTAAAAAATGTTATAAATATGATGAATTTTTATTTTTGTGTGGATCCATAATTTGTTTTTACCTTTTTTGTTTATGGAACTTTTCATTTTTATTAGACTGAGTTATTTCTGAGGCAATTGGGGTAGGGCAGGTCTATCGAGAATGATTGGGAATAAGACCTAAGATGTACCTACTACCTACACCAATGGCGTCATTTGGGGTTCGGTAGGGTAGGTATTTGTCCCTCCTTGTCGTTAGCTGTCCGAGTATGGGCTGTGTCTATCTAATTTTGGGCCGCAAACATGATTCATGTCATTGCGAAATAAAATCTAACTATGATTCGTGGCTAGGGCTAATACTTAAATAATTATAGGGTATTTGTATATTATGTATTTCTAATTTATGTTTGTTAGATAATAAAAGAATTATAGTCTTTGGCATGGTTGTAGATAGTATATCCACTTATTTGGATTATCCATTGTTAGATGTTTCAATTTTATACATTAGAAGAAGTCTATTTGTATTGTTTTAAAAATGTAATGTTATGCAATTAATTGCAAAATTTTTTTTTAGTTTTATTTGGGGCTGATAAAATGTTTGCCCCCCTCACCAAAACTGAAGTGATGCCACTGACTTACACTTACATATGCAAGATACAGAAACTTCTTATTATTAAAATATTGCACTAAGCATAATCGTAACTTGGAAGAGGGGGACTAGGCCCCTTAACTTTAATTTTAGCCCCTCCCACTCATAATGTCTATACTCCCACCAATGGAAGCTACATCATACAATATAATTTAAAATATTGTTTTATTTAAGCTATATAATGTTTGTATGTGATGACTAGAGCAAGGACTTTCATGCATTTGCATGTTTTTTCTGGTTTAATTAAACTTATGCAGAGGAAGTATACAATACGTTTCACAACGTTTGTGACCAAAATCTAAAAGTTTTTAGTGCATATTTTTGCATATAAGGAAATTTTTTGGTTTAAAAGGCATATTTTTGATTGTAAGAGCATATTGTAAGCTTTTAGTGCATATTTTGATGGTTTATCGAAAATCGAGCACTTTGGTAAATATTTTCCACGAATCACGGTCAACAATTTGTTATAAACTTATAAAGACGATAGAGATAAATTTTATTTTGAAATAATAATAATGGTCAGGTTTAATTATGTCTATTTTTGTATTTTTATTTAACGAATAGGTAGTAGGTACGTGGGATAAAAACGATAGTGATAGATTCACTGTGTGTGTGTAAGTTTCGTGAGTTTATTTTTTGTCACTCTATTAATATGCCAAAAGAAAAATCGACAAAAGCTTATCGTCTGCGTAATTTTGTAATCGAGTTTGGTGAATCTGTATTTTCAACGGATTATAATTAAGAAGAATGGGATCCAACATTTAAAAGAAATTTCAAATCAATTTAATAATATAAATGTAGTTCAGACTTATAGTGTATATTAATAAAATAAATTTTTTTAAGGGCATATTTAACCGCATATTTTTAATTTATTGATGTATAAGTGCATATTTTTAAATGCATAATTGCATACCTATTTAATGATTTTTTAGTGCATGAAAGTCCTTGCTCTAGACGTGATGACTATATAAAATCAATTTTTTTTGTTGAATAATCTTGAAAAATCTTGATGTGTGTATTTGAATTCTGGTCACACTGTATAATAATTAATATGGTGGTATTCTGTGGTATTATTTTCTTTATCATTGATGATAATGAGAAGAGCTTAATAAATAATAATAATATAAATAATTGAAGATAAAACATAAGACATGATCTTCTTAAGACCATATCGGATTAATCAATAATTTGTATTATCGAACGTTTAAATAATTAATGTATTTTTATCAATTTACAAATTTAGGGTTAAAGCTGGAATTACAATCATTTTAGACTCATAGCTTGCGTAGCCATGTGGAAATGCCATAAATGTGGCAAACCAGTGTACTTTGGTAAGTTTTGAATTTGTATTTTAAAAATAGTACATAGTTATGTATGATTTCTTTTATTTAGCGGAACGCATGCAATCGTTAGGCTATGACTGGCACCCAGAATGTCTACGATGTGAAGAGTGTAGTAAGCGATTGAACCCTGGACAGCATGCAGAGGTATGACCAAGAACAAAAAATATCATTTGATAGTCATTATCGGTTAATATGCTTACATTATTGTACATTGTGTATTAGCATAAAGGTGTCCCTTACTGTCATGTGCCATGTTATGGTGTGTTATTCGGACCTCAATTATATGGCCATGGTACCAGAGTGGAGTCTCATACCAGCTTTGGTAGAGTCGAAAACAAATATCCGTTTGGGCCAAATGTTGAAAGGTTATATTATAATTATTTTATATGTTATGATAAATTATGTCTCATCTGATTCTTATAAGATTTTGATTTTTGTTCATTATAGGTCCGAGTTGGACGAAAAACTCAAAATGTACAACAAATATTACGAAGGGCGTAGTGGAGAGATTCGTAGCCGTGAGGTAGATTGTTTGAAAATCCACATATTTTTTTTAAGCGAAAGTTTTATTAATAGAATTCATTTTTTATAGGTAAATGGTCGCCCTATTCTAGAAGGGGCATTAAGAATCTATTGGGCTGTGACTGACATGATTCATCTGAAAGAAGATGATGACCAAAGAATCAAAAATAGAATCCTTAGAGAAAATGATGTGCCACTAATGGTGAAGTAGTGTAGTTTTTAATTGCAATGTATTATAATACTATGTTTTATATTCAAACGGATTTTCAGAAACTACAAAGTAAATATGTAACTAATAATTCAAAAAATGATCAACATCAAAATGGAAACAACCTCTTAAGCAAATTTAATACATTACCAAATAATTTAAATCATAACGTTGTTGAAGATGACCTTAATGAATTTTTGAAAGTAAATACATTTGTAGTTAAATAATAACTTTTTTTTAGTACTTAACAGGATGTGATACCCATATTTGTTTGTAACATTTACATTCAAAATAACAAATTTTTATTATTTTTAACAATAATTTAAACATTTAATTGATAACCAATCTATTATTAACAAGCAGTGAAGAATTTATGATTGAAATGATGTGCAGAAAAGTCATGTGGCTTGGCGTGGCGCAATTAAAAACTTTGCCATACATACACGTGTTTGCTTCCTACCGTAACAACCTTAACAATCGTAAACACAACTTACCTTACCAACGTCACTAATACCGCGGTTCATAACCCCTATAACAGCTAATGGCCTTAGTCGCCAGGCTTAAAAAAAAAAACCAGGGGCTTGTTAAACGTATCCATATTATGAGCTATGACATTCTTACCTGTAACTTATGAAACTTACAAAACAAAATATAGATAGGGCTATAAAATTACCATTAAATCTGTTACTTTGTTTCATTGTTTACATGACCAATATCACATACACATGTAATACACCGTCAATAATCAAAATCACATCCACTAAATAAACTTTTTTTCTATACTAAATATGCGTAAAGTAGATTTGAAACAAACTGATATTAATTGAAGGATTTCTAATGCATTATAAATGTTGTTGTCTGATCAATATTAGGGCTTTATTTATTTTCATTCCATCATACTGATCAATTCAAATATTCAAAAATGGGATTTTGATATTTAAGATATATTAGAAATTCTTAATATGTTTGCTTTGGATCCTATTAGCAACTTTTCTTTTATTTCTTTAAAGAAATGTAATTCGCTGTCAAACATTTGTGCATTTTTACGATTATGTAAGTTATATTTTTACCGCGTCCGGTTGTTCCAAATTTGTGTAACCATTAAGAGAATGGAGGAAAGAAAAAAGTGAATTGACCTATTATCAAACTTAGTTAAGAACATTGTCTGTGTCCTCTATTTGGTTTTTTGTAAACACTATTTTAATTTTAGACTGATTTTTGTGTATTAAAATTTTAAAATGCTCATAATTCTTGAAAATTGAAATATTTTAAAAATTAATGAGAGAACACAGATACTTTTCTTAAAATCTTAAAGTTAAAATACTCTAATATTAAAGCTAACAGCACAAAATGAAAACTGCTGAACTTAACTATGCAGCACATTTATAAGATAAAGACAACATATTCTGTTGTGAGTTGTGACGTCCTCTTAAAAGTTATTAGTAGGTCCAAAGAAGACAAAATGAAGGATCTAAATATATTTTTAATGTTTTTATTGTATAAATTAGATCAATCAGCAAATAGGAATGAAAATGGGTCTTTTTAATGTGTAAAATAGTTTGTTTCCGATATTTTTAAATGAAAATATTTTATTTATTAATCTGTAATAAATTACATAGGTAGAAAGAGAAGTGGTTGACGATGAAAGTACAAAAGCTGATAAAGAAGCCTTAGTTCCAGATAAAAATGACGAATATTCAGAAAATTTTGAATCTCAATTAGAAAAAGAGACAGTTGATAAGTGTTTGCTGAGGAGTCGTTCCTTGGATGATGATACCAGTGACAATGAATATAATGATGAATCATTATCTGACCATCAAGATGAATTTGTAAATAATGTCAAAATGCGTCGCAAATCTGGATCAACAGCTATCAAAAGAAGGCATGCTATATAATACTTGATACACATATTGAGCCATTCTATATTTAAATGTATATTATTTTTGTTTACATTTTAGAACTGGAAGATTAAATGGAAAGAATAGAACAAAATTAAAACGCAGATGTTCAATTAATGGTCATTTCTATAATCGCGAAACAAGTTTTTTCACACCACCATATGGTAGCCAAATGTCTGTTTGGGTTACGTCATTAGTTACAACACCAGAAGTTATTAATTTGATGTTAGACAAATACAAAGTAGATGGGAAAGCATATCAATTTTCATTATTTCTTGTATTTGATAATGGAGGTAAATATTAGAAAAGTATTGTAAAAACTATTACCTGATAACTTAGTTTAAAATGTAATTATAGAACGTCGTAAATTATTGGATGATGAATATCCACTGGTTGTAAGATTAATTCAAGGACCACATGAAGATGTTTCTAGATTATATTTGATGGAAAGTCGAACCACAGACGAAATTAGTTGCGACGTGGCTCAATTTCTTAATTTCAGTTTACCAGAATGTAAAGCTATTCTGGCTGGTTATGATGCTGAAGAAGAGAAACAAATTATTGCAATACAAGCAAAGTAAAATATTTTATTTTTGTATTCTAGATCTTAACAGGCTAATAGGTCATTAGAACCTTTATATTTTTCATAAAATGTTAGCTCCTTCCACAGCCCTTGTAGCCCATTAGTATTATTCTATGCAAACTATTTAAGTTAAGAGTACTTCTCGGCTGTTAGTTTTTTTTCGTAAGACTGGCAGTTGAGAACAACAGTGGCTGGATACTGCTGGAGGGAATCGATTGAATCGAAACAGGCTAGTAATCTAACTGAAGCTGATGAAAAGCTGTTATTTCTGAGAAGTACTCTTGGTGCACTCATATAATATTATAATACTCTTGAAAAGTTTGAATAAATATCATGTATAATTTTTCTTTTAGATATGAAGATATAAGAAGAAGAATCAAACAACGCATGGAACAGTTAAAGGTTCGACTTTAACCACTAGAAATAAGTTTTTAATTTTATGTTAAATTTCTTTTATATTATTGCACTATCTTACATGAAGGTTTTTTACATTTATCAACTACCAAATAATAAAAAATAATATATAAAAATATTGTTGTTGTTGTTAGTTAATTATTATTATGTATATTTAAATAGTTAAATATAATAAGACTGTTCGCATTAATCAATTATTTCCAACAATGTACAAGAAAACTTTTTGTAGGATCAACATTCTGAACTATTGATCAATATTGAATTGTTATTAAATTAAAAGATGAAAATATAATTTTATGTTAAATTTAATTATTTTAAACTTTTTTTAGTTTTTAACTGAGTTGCACATTAAAAATTTTATTTGTTAGGTATTTATTCGTTTATTAAAGAATAATTAAGGATTAGATTAATGGCGTCTGAACAGGAGTAATTAATAACCACATTTCCTGCACATAACCATCTTATTACTAAATCAAAATTAAACCAAATTTGGAGTATCAACATTTTTTACTTTCTTATAACACTTATTGTCTGTTAGGCTGCATTAATATTTTTATTTAATTTTCTAAAAAAAATATGTAATTAATTAGTTGAAATTGTTCTCAGAAACTTAATCCCTTAGTTTTCTATGGTTTATGTAATTTTGTGTGAATGTATTTTTATTAAAAAAAAATATTCAATATTAAATTTAATAAGGGCCACATAACTATTTTAATTTTCTTGGACTACAAAAATATTAGTCTTGTGAGTTTGTGGTTCCAACACATAACTTATACAGATTACAGACCCAGGGGTGGCCCTATAATTATATATGGATTTAAAAAATACATAAACTAATTAGCTTAAATATAGTTTACTTCAATCGATTCACAAACTTAAGAATACCTACCTAGCATTATAATATAAACTATAAAGCATTTACTCCTTCACTTCCCTCTAATGAGTTAATACATAATAAAGAACTCCAATTTATTATAAGACAATAGCTGTTAAATTCTGGTGTAATCATTCCTATTGAAATCAAATAAGTACCTAGGTAAAGAGTTTAATCGGAAGGGGAGAATAAGAACGGGAGTGGCAGGAGGTCAAGTGGGAACGTTCTTCAGGTACAACTTACTAATAATTCATCTGATCTCTTTAAAATCATACTACATTTAGTTCTAAAAACCAAGTATTATATTAAGTTATAAATCAAGAGTAACCAACAAGTCAATTTTTGTAGGAATATTGATCGATCGTATTAAAATTTAATTATTTTTGTTGATTAAGTCTAATTTTAAACAATTATTTTTTAAAGCATTTATTAGTAAAGAAAAAAAAACAATTTTCCTATAGATAAATATTTAATAGGTACTCAAAATTTGGTATTATACAGAGTATTATTATGATGCTGCATGTAATAATATAAATAATATACATACCTAAATAAATAGTAGTCGATCTTTAGATACTTAAAATGTTTAATGTTGGAAAACGTTGGCGACAACTGCCATGAATTATATTAATTTTTAACATCAATTAACAGGAAAACATTTAAACATTGAGAAAAGCCAAACATTCAGTGACCATTGAACAAACACTGCAACTGTAGGATGGTTTGAGATCTATAATTTAACATTTTGACCAAAAAATTTTATTGGCATTTATAGAAAAAAAACTAAAGGAAATTGTATATTGAAAATGTCTATAAATAGCTTAAAACGAGTCAAAATATTTTGAAAACTTTATCATGTATACTAAATGATTTATAGCAAAATGAAGAAATCTTTGGATGAGAATTCGTTAACTTACGTCTGAAAATCTAATTTTTGTTATACTTAACGCTTTTCCAACGCTATTAAAATTACCACTAGATTCATTTATCTATCTGAAAAAATGCTGAAGTTGAAAATTGAAGCATTGTGTCTACTAGAAAAAATGTTTACCGACAGAAAAAAAAACACATTGTAAAATCAATACATTCAACATTCCTCTAAAAATCTAAAATATCGTCTATTGACTATAATGTCTTGGACTCTTAGACAAAATTATGGGAGTAAATATTAATTTCTACCTACAAACTTTTCCTACAATCTTACTTCTTACCCATTCAATTATTTTGTTTGTGCACTACCTATTCTATGTTGGATAATTAATTGCAGTGTATACATATTTTATTATGACAGTTTATCATAATAAAATTATTACTAATAGGTTTACGTTTTAAAATATTTACAAAGCGGAAGAGAAAAAAAAAAAAAAAAAAACAAAAATAATAATAAATAATAGTTTAACAATAGGTCGTGTGGGCGTCCACGCTTGAGTCGGCGTACAGAAGGTGGGTCACTTAGTTTATAGAATTTCGCACTATGAGCATAATTGATGTGATCGAAGCTAATAGGTACCTACTAGGTAGGTATTTAAATATTTCTTGTAAAATGAAATCAGACTTTTAACAACTGTCAAAATTAAAGAAACAAATGTTTAAAAATAAAAGACACATAAATGAAAATAATAAACATTTCAGTCACCGATTATTAATTTTTAATTGATAATATCTAATAGGCAATTCAAATGTTATTGTCTATTATGATTTACAATTATCATCTATTATCTAATTATAACACCATTTTTATGAATGTGTTTACAATATAGTTTTTTAGAACTGTGAGAAAAAAATAAAAAGTAATAATTTATCATGAAAGTATAATATTATGTATTTACCTACCTAGTCCCCTACTCCCTTACTATATGTGTAAACACCGAATCGACAATTTTGTCGCGGGTTTATGGGTTGTAAAATATTAAATACATGAACATAGGTACTGGTCGATAATATAATATGGACTCGTGAAAATTAATTTGTCCACCTTACTGGCACATCCATATTTTAGCATTATTGATTATTATTATTGTAGCTTGTATGTAGTTATGTCAAATTCATAATCTACGTTCTACGTTTTTATTTAAATGTTATAAAACTGGAGAATTTTATTATTTTGAAAGATCTGGAAATCGTTACAATAATTATAGAAACCTGTTACAAATATAGATAGGAAGGTACCTCCTGCGGTTACATACTACTCAAAAATTGTACATAATAGGTATATAGTTTAAACTCTAGCTAGATAAAAACATTTAAAAAAATAAAGCCGAGTATTCTGTGTACAACTATACATGTCTACATTGTACTGAATAGTGAATTGTATGTGTAGTCATCAATATTATCTATCTATCTATAATCTATCTATGTAAATAAAATTAAATGTTTGTGTGTAAACGATCTACAGCCAAATCTATTACTTTCATATTGTTTTGAAGTTAGGTTCATACATAATTTTATATTCGACAGGGGCGTACCCAAGAATTTTTCAAACATGGGGTCTAAGTATTTAAACATGTAAAAATTATAAAAAAATGCATGGTGTTACAAACAATAAACATTCTATCAATCAATAGGAGAGGGGGTTCAAACTTTAAAACCTCCCCCCCCCCTGAGAACTCCCCTGCTCGAGAATGGTACATTTCGAGGCCAAATTTGTAAATTTTGAATTTATTAGAGAGACTCAGTACTCACACTGAGCTCACGCAGAACGAATACCTATTTATTTGTTTGTATAGATGGTTGCCATTGGTTATAGAAAATAAAACAGTTATTATAAAGTGGGTACCTATAATTTTAGAATTATATTCTATATTTGGTCAAAACAACCCAAATAACTGTGCACTTAACATTTAACCGAATTTAAGAAGAGATAAATCCATGAGCATTTAATTTTGTTCATTTTTACTCCCTCGACGTCAGGTTACACAGCTAGTATAGGTACTAATTTACTTTTATAATACACTGCAGACAGGTATAATATTATATCAATCATCAATGTTTATGTTAAAAAATATTTTATCGTTCTTGATTATCATCTCAAATTTTAAGATGCTAAAACAAAAACCTAAAGAATTCATTTTTGGTGCTAAATATAAAAAATATCAAATACCATGGCATATTATTTCAACATAAGCTATAATAGTCATGAGAAATAAATAATAATATTTCGGTAGGTTGAGTAGAATATATTAATTGGTATATTCAAAATTGTAGAAATATTCAACTTTTTCTCAAAATTTAAAATTGAAAATACATTTTTGTTTTGGCCTAAACATAATCTTATTGTTCCAACTCTTTTTAAATTTATACTTAACTGCGTGCAAATCATGGTATGTATCCTGTACGAAAAATTCATAATTTTAGTCAGTGTTAACTGTCAAGTGTTACTACCTACTCCAAAGTATGTATAGCCAAGTAGGTATCTAGTTATTTATGTACCAGTCAGTGTTATATTATGACAATCATTAATTTTTTTAACATTTAAACAACAAATTTAGATAAACTTCAAGATAGTTAAGATTTTTCGTATGAATTTATTCTCTATATGAATTATCAGTAGCTAAGTTATAATTTCAGCTTTAAATATTAAAATTACTTCTTAAAAACAAATTAAAAATGTGAAATATATTAATTTCAATTTAATAATGTTATTCGTTGTTATTTCATGAGATTTTTTCTCTGCAGAAGATATAATTGTATATTAATTTTAAGCTTATGAGGTATAATTTTGTTGTGATATTTTTCAAATTACATACATATAGAGTACATACTCATTTACATAATATACAAAAAGGTTTTTGCATTCACAGAGATTTAAAAAAAAGGTGTAAACGATAAGTCGCAGTGTTAACAGTAACTGCAGATCTAAAGGTCATCTCTTCGAAAGAAGCAGGTAGAAACTGGGGTGACAGATTTGTAGGAAATAAAACAGTTAAAAATATATGTTCATTTTCTGGTGAGATCGTGATGGTGTATGGTGCTTTAGAATGTTCATGGTTTGATTCTCTTATCACTTTTCCTTAACGTTTTTCGTACATGGAAATAAGAATACTGTTACGATTGTCACATCATTACTTATATTTTATAAGTACAATATAGTGTACAATATGTACAGGTACCTAATAGGTACATATGTTTCACACATTTATTATTGCAAGGCTACGGACAAATACCAAGATGTAAGAC